TTTATGTCACATCAGAATCATATACAAACCTTAAATATGTAATTTAAGTTTTGTACTACCTTTCGTTTTTGAGCATAGCTGTTCACAAAACAGACCATTTGGCGGGACTTGGTTATTTCGACTCATAGGACCTCAAAACATGTATTTCCGTTGAAAACAGATTTGAAAAATTTCACGATCGCAATACTTTCCCTTACTATATATTCCATATAGGTAACTAAAAGTAAAAATATTTGCTGTTGACATCTCACCAAGCCATCCAAGTACTTACTGATATGCAAGTATTCAGACAATAATTATGTATTTGGATGGCTTGGTAAGATGTCAAAAACAAAGTTTTTATTTTTCGTTTTTTTTTTTGCATAAATGTGATCTTGCTTTTTATGACCGAATGATATCTGAATTGGCGAAACGTTGACAGGTTCAATATTGTATATTAGAAATCCATGTGTTTAAAACTTGGATTTTTCCATTTAAATGGTAATCATTGTATGTCTCTTTTTAACTATATGTTTATTTTAGTAAAAATATTTACTATAATCATGTCGTGTGTATACTCTATTTGTCAGAGGTGTCCATCTTCCCCCAAGTTCGTCGGCTCATGAATCTTACCCGCATTTCTAGGATACTTTATTGCTCTACTCTTAATAACAGTATAAGCGAAAGTAGAACTATATTTAAAAAAAAAAAAAAACTTGCGCCATGAAACTCCCTTTTGGGAACCGTTGCAACTTGTACTTCGGTTCGTTGATCGGGTCCAAGGATTTTCACCAAAGTTGTAAACACAGAAACCAATTAAAAATTAAATCAATTTTTATTAAATGGGTGAATTTTATTAAAATAATACAGATAATTTTAACAAATTCAATTGTATGCTTTAAATTAATACAATTATATATTTTTTTAATTTAACTTAAAATATTTTTATTCAAAAGAAATTTAATGTTCTACTCAGTTCAAATTATTAAAAAAGTATTGAAAACAATTTTTAGGTCAATATTCTATTGATCGCAGCAGTTCATTTGCGAGAGCACACCTGTCAAAGTAGCTTTTTTACTTTCACTTACGTATATATATATATATATATATATATATATATATATATATATTATATATATATATATATATATATATTTTTTTTTTTTTTTTTTTTTTTTTTTTTCCCTACCTCGCCTTTTAGGCTATACGGGATTTTCCCGGGCCGGGGGGTGAGGGCGGGGAAATTTAAAATCCCCTCCGGCACCGGGACGCGAACTCGTACTTTTTATATCATCTGAAATCTCTGTTATCCGGTTGCCAGGCAACTAGCGGTGCTGTTACACACGCTTTAGCCTATTCGGCCACCCCGCCCCCCTAAGCACTTACGTATATATGTAATATATAGTAAGGGTAAGTATTGCGATCGAGAAAATGTTTGAATCTGAGTTTTCAACGGAAATAGACGTTTTGAGGTACCCTGAGTCGAAATAACCAAGTCCCGAAAAATGGTCGGTGTGTGTGTGTGTTTGTATGTTAGCAGTCTAGCTCAAAAATGAAAAGTCCTACGAAACTGATATTACGTATTTAAGATAAGTATATGCCTTAGATGTGACGGCAACTTTTTCCTTAAAATCGGCTAACCGGAAGTGCTACTATATATCAACGCTGAAACACATTTTCACAATTTTCTCAAAAACGGCTCTAACGATTTTGATTAAACTCGGTGTATCATTGTATAATTAAGTAGTCTTTAATATCAATTAGGTCTTATCCCCATTGATGTCACTTTACAGGGCTTAAATGCCCAATGTTCATATACGTCTTCCTCTAAAGTACCTTTAATATGGTTTATTTTAAAAAGTTAATCATTTCACATAATTCAAAGTAATGAAAAAATGCTAAATATAACTTTTGAAAGAATTTGATAAGTTAATAAAGCAGAAAAAAAAATGCAGAAAAACCTGCGTTGTTATAGACTGTAGCGCCTAAACGAATGTACCGATTTCAATGAAACTTCGCTAAAGTCATTTTTTCGACACCCTTTAAATTTATCTATATAACATACTTCAATGAAAAGAAGTTGGAAAAAAGTTACGAGGGATGGTAAAATTAATTTCCGAATAACTCAAAAAGTTATTTTAAAAGTTTATGGAATTTCCTAAAAAAAAAAAAAAAAAAAAAAAAATCGTTAAGATCGGACAACTAGGAGGAAAGATATGGTAGATAGATTTTTTTTTCCTGAAGAGGCGAAAATTTGAATAAATTTAAAATATAATTTTTGATTGTTGAGACTAAAAAAACTTTTTTCTACAGATATTTAAGAAAGTATCTTTCCTAAGAACATTTTTCATAAGAAATAAGTACCTAAATTTATATTTTTATTCTCAGTTCTATATTTCAACGTTGCAATCACCACCTTGGGAATCAACTTAGTCATATTCTGCATAGATAACTTTTTCAACTAAAAATATCACTAAAATGACATCACTTAAAAATATTGAAATTGGAGTTAGTCATTCTGAAGTTTATAAAAGCAAAGAAAGTTGTGTGGTTTATAAAAGCAGATAGAGTGACTAGATTTTTATTGGCTGTTGTCAATATATTAAATAGACATTTTGTAATTATAATGGTCTTAATGAATTGTTATCTGTAAGCTTTAAGCTTTAGCTCCGTTTAAAATGCACTTCAAAAAAATTTATAATAGCCCAGCATTGCCAGAAAATAATTTCTATTCATAGTAGATCGGTAAGTGAAAGTTGTATGTTGCGCGCACCAGATTTTATTATATTAGAACGAACATTAAAATGCCTTTTTGTATTATAAAATTCAAAAATTAAAAAGAAATTACATATAGCGACAGAAAGTGATTCATGAAATAAGCTTCGACACTGAACGGATCGAGTAAAAAATAATATAAATATTTTAAAATGTGATAGGTAAGCAAGCAATGCTTTCTAAATCCTGAGCTCTAGATCTAATAGGTAGTTTCATGCTGTTGGTCAAATGCCAAAGAAAATGCTTTTAATATTTTTATACTTGGTTTTGAATTTGTTGATGACTTCTTCTGACTGACTGAAGTTGACTAATGGCTCACTATTAATAACCTGATATTACATCACTTGCACGGGCACAGAAATGCTTGTGGCAATGAACCGTGCAGTTTCAATGCATCTTGGATCTATCTTGTCTATATGACTATAATCATCCGTATCACTATTACTTTTATCTTCATTTATTTATTGAAAAGTAATTGTTATCTATGTTTTTGAAACCTCTTGGATTTGAAGCCTAGTCCCCAAACTTGAGTGAGCCAGAAAAAAGATACGGAATCGGAACTAGTTGTGGCAGAACCCGGTGGGAGTCAAACTTTATTTTTAGGTTAAAAGTATATATTTATGCTTGTCGATTGTTTTGATCTTAACCCAGTCAATAAAATAAGTTTATATTTAAAAATGATGATATATTTCGAAATATACTACCTAAATTTTGTAATAGAAATAAAAATGTAGAATTTTATTGAGGAGGGTAAAAAGGAAAAAAAAAAAAATGGGCGACGAAATTAAACTAGCATATCAGGAAAAAATTTAATACCAATTTAATATATTATTCATGCATTTTTTTCGGAAATGGCAATAACTATTACCCCTGATATATCTGCTTTTATTAAACTTGTGTTATTTAATATCAAAATTATGAAAAAATAATTTAAAAAAAAATATAATACATTTTTTGTATGAAACGATAACGATATTTTTAAACGTTGTATGTTTATTACAAGAGTTGTTCTTTTTAAGAAATTTAAACATTATTTTTATATAATCTTTAATATTATTGAAAGTCCACTTCCCATCTCAGACAGGTATATTAGCTTCCTTAAAGGCTAAGGAATAACTTGGAACCCACACATCACATTTAAAAGACAATAATTTAACCGTCGAGTTGGCCACCTATTACAAAATAGAGCATCTAATCTTTGAATTGTAAATATTCTTAACCTAAATGACCATATTGAAACCTATCTGCACCTACGGATTTGAATTATGGAGGACAACTAAATTTTCAAATATCAAATGTATTTAATCATTTCGGTCCAAAGTATTCGGACCAATAGTTAATGCTCTATATTATGTCACGAAAAAGACGCTACACGTGATCTTTGTCATGTTTGTCAGAGATTTTTCTAAAATACTTGGTACCCCATCCTCAGAGTAGCATTTGCACATCTCTGATGTTTATATATTATTTTATTTAATTTGTTAATAATTATTTATGTTTTTTTTTTGTAGTACATATCGTAGGAATGGATATCTTTAGCGTTAATATTTATTGCCCTTGGTTGTGACAAATACTTATTGCCCTTGGGTGTGTATTGTTATTCAATAAATAAGTAAAAATAAAAAACAAATTTATTGAATCGTCGTTTCAAAATTAAGGGTTATTGAAATTAAGGATTATGTATTAATGTCAATATTTGAAAGTTTATTCGGGAAATTTTCAAACCTTTTAGTAAACTTGCTAAAACCTCATTTACTGTCAAGCTCAACTTCTTGGAACTTCTAACTCCTGCTTATGAAGTTCATCGAAAGTAACTTTACCTTGTTAGGTATCTTACAGACCGGCTTAGGATCAAGGTGTTGTAAATTATTTAAGTTCATTAAATTAATCGTTACTTCATCGGGTTCATCAGAATTTAACCATAATCTTTAAGTTATCTCGATTCTCGAAATAATATTTTAAATTTTCCTATATTAGCTACCTGGATTGTTGCAATAATTAATATTATAATTTAGGGGCTACAACTTTTTGACTAGTCTTACCTCTTCAACCAAGTTCCTCCAAACGTCTCTATTTCTGGTAGCCACCCTGAAGTTCTTGACGGATACTTCGATGGCATTTACGAAGAGATGTCAAAAGAGGGGCTAATGCTTAAAGCTTAAATCTTCAAAGCTTGGTAAGCTTGGTACGTACATGTATGGTGGATTATGTAATGCTCCACTTCATGGACGATGGGGAATAATACGTCAGTTAGACAAGACAGAGGCGTTGATGAGTGAAAAAGTTAACCGGGAAATGACGCCATGGGAAAGATGAGCTCCGGTTGAACGGAAAATGACCTCTGGTGCCATGATTGCTCTTGAAAGGGCTCTTGAAAGACGAAAACTGAGGACTCGAATTCGGCTGCCTCGATAACACATCTGTCGGATCGCCCTATCACTAAAACTTTAGTAAACACTGAAACCGGTAAAAGTACGAACTAAGAGAGACTTGAACCTCAAACAGGATTTCCCAAGGTGAAAAATCACTACCCTACCTAATCCCTAGATGAATCAGAAGAAGATAAACTGCATCCTGTCGTGATGAAGATGAAGAAGAAAAAGGAGGAAAATAATAAAACAAGTGGCAACTCTGAACGATAGGAGGGGGAGAGAGGATTGAGCATCAAAAGCTTACATACTCAGGCATTTTAAGGAGAATAGAAAAAAGTAACACTACAACAACACCAGAGGAAGCCCAATAAGAGGCAAAGAAGAAAACTAGAGCCCGAGAAACATATAAAAGTTTCTCCCGAACAAAGAGGAACTACAGGGTACTCAGATTACCGCTCAAGTGATAGGACTCACAACTGGAACACTGCTGTTCTGGTGAAGACTAAGGGAGTGGAACAAGCTAAGAAGATGAGAGGAATACAAGATCCTGAAGAAAAAGGAATTATGATTTAATCTGGCAAAAACCAAGAGACCGAAGTTTGAAATCAGTTGAGTGCCCGAGGACTGCAAATCCTCTGACTTAGAGGACTTCCTATGGGAAAACTTGGGAGCATTGGGATAAATAGACCTCGTTAAGAGTATAATAGAAAGAAATGTGTCAGGTCATGATTTTCTAATGTTCAGAAAGGAAACCTAAAGGAAACCTGAGCAGTGGAGGTTCGTTCGTCCGCGAGAACAGCAGTCTTACAGATGGAAATGTTATCCGACAGCTTCTTGACCTTAAGCATCAGGGACTACATAGATGCTCTCCTGTGCCTGAAAGGCCAGGAATATTGTCATACCAAAGCTAAATACATGAAACACCTTACATGCAGATAGTATGGCAGCCCAGGAGAAGCGGCTCCCCTCCAAATTGCAAGAACCTTATGATGTCAGGGTAGGCTTTAGATGGAATAAGGCTTTATGCTGGGAGCAGAGTTCTCCAGTGCACTTTTCAAAGATGATGGAATTAGAAAAGAAGACCTGCTACACTTAGTGGCGGCTCTGGTTTTACGCTCCTGCTGAGGAAAGGTCTTGGTGGTTTCTGATAGCCGCTGGACTAAAACGAGAATATTGAGGCACAGTCCTACCACGGAAGGTGCACAGATGTGCACTGTGCCACTGGAAACCCTATTTTACTGTTTCTAGAATTAAATACATATCCTAAATAATATATAAAATAAAGAACAATAACAAATAAAAAAAAATTTATCGGTTGCAGTGCCATCTGCAAAATCTACGCGCACTACCTCACTGCTCCTGAGAACATTGTATGTCAGAAATGATCAGTCATGAACAAACGGAAAGAAAACAATGAACATTTCGAGCGTCATTTGCTACACCATCAGACCATTGTTTTCAGAAGAGCTACGCAGTCAGCAGTTCATTTGGCATCGCCTCGTTCCCATTTAAGCCACATTTTTTATTTAAAAAACTAAAGTAAGATTAGCAAATTAAATTTCACCTCACCTTTTTTCCTCTTCTATTCCCTCAACAATTTTCAACAATTTATTACAACAATACTTTAGGTAATATAACTCGATATAAACATCATTAAAAAACACCAACTCCTATTATTAACTGAATTTAAGGTCAAATCAATCATGAAACAAAAGCAAATATTTTTCATCAAACCTAAAATCCAAATTCGGTCTACCGAGATAAATATCTCTTTGTTCTTACGCCAGGTGTTATGTTTCGCTTTAATAGGAGCCATGAATTTCATTAGTCCATATCGTCATTTGCAAAAACATAAATAAGGGTTAAATCCAAAAAAAAATGAATAAAAATAGGTCGACCCGTTGAAGAAAAACTCGTGAGACTGACCGTGTAAATACGTTTTTTGGAAAATTCTATATCAAGGAAATTTCCTGAAGAGAATATTATGAATACTAGATTTAATTTAATTACTAGATTTGCTTTCTGCTTTGTTTGGTTTATTCTTACAATGGTAATATAGCAAAATCAATACTGATAAGTTCTTTTAACTTTGAAAGTAAGAGGTGATAATTATTAAAGATAATAATTTAATTTACTGTTTCTAATTTTATTTTTTATGATAAAACTTTATAATGGACATCATTTATGAACTTCAAGCAAGATAAATAAAGATATACAATAAAACAATTAATATATTCAAAATATATCTATACATATTTTTTAACTCATACAAACATCATCACCAATTTGTTCTTTTCTAAATTATTAAAATATTCTAAAATATAAATTTTAATCCAATCAACATTATTAACATTGTTAGTAAAATAGAGTATGACAAAATTCAACACAGAAAAACAAACTTTATTTAAAAAAAAAAAACGAAGATAAAACAAACCTGTTGTTTAAGAAACGACATGGAATACACTCACCTGAAAAGAAATAAACAATTAATAAATATTTATCTTAAAAGTTCAACAAAAAATTGTATTGATAAAAATACCATTATTATTAACATGTTTTAATAACTACAGTAGTTTATTCTTTAATTAAATAAAATTTTTTGGTTAGAATAGGCGATTAGGCACTTGTAAGGCAAAGCACTTGCAAAATCGCACCAGCCTCCAAACCTAAATGTTGTGAACTCAAATCTCCAAATAATTAAAAACAGGCAATAATAAAAATAAGAATGATAAGTAATTCCAATCAGGAAAACCGCAAACCAAACAATTGGGTCAATACAGTGCGGGTTTGATTCACTTTGGAGACGTTAACCTCACCTTTGAGAAAATGGAAGATGGCCGACAACTGTCTCGAGCATAGTTCCTGGTCCTCCAGGTTAGGGATGAGTAGTAGGGCTAATAAATCTATATCCTTAAAAAATATCAAATTACGAATACTAGAACTTGCTTTGGAAAATCTGACTGCCAACATGGTAACGATTCGGCTTTGTACAAGGAACTCCACATTGATCATGGAATGTTCCGATGAGCCGCTTAAACGGTAGCCAGAGAATTGAAAAGGTACAACGTACCGTTAACAGAGCCATACAAGAAGTGACATGTTCAGAGATTGGTGAAACCACTATCGATGGCCAAAGACGGTTCTAGACCGGAAGAAACTTCAGAAATGGACTGCGAGCACCGAAATCATAATCAGCCAAGCGACAATAAAATCAGCCGTTGACGCGTTAGGGGTCGTTGTTTTATTTTCAAGATAAAGATCATAAAAATACAAAGATAGCGAGATGAAAAATGTTTTCTATCATCAGTTAGATAAAGTTATGAATCAGGTTCATGAATATGACATGGAATTAGTCATAACCACTTAGTCATTCAGCAATTAATTGCTTAGATGGTCATTAGTCATTCAGCTATTTACAAGAGACTTATAATCAAGTAAACCAAATTGAAGATACTTTAAGAAGAAATTTAGAAAAGTCGGCGTTCCTAGTCACATACTATTTCAATGCAGTCAATACCATCCTGGTATTAAGAATTCAAACACAAGTCATAACATAACGAATTTAAACACAATCGGTGAAGCCGTTTTTGAAAAAAAACTATAAAATTGTATTAATTTGATTCTATAAAACGCAACATTGGATTAGCCGATTTTGAAGAAAAGATGCTACCATACTGCACCTACCTCAAATACGACGTTCACAAACAGACACATCCAACCATGTTGCAAGACAGGTTATTTTTGTTAGGGGCGTATTTGGACTTAGAGACTTGGGTTATTAGATAAAACATAGATTAAAAATTTTATCATAGTGCTGCCTCCCCTTCATATTGTAACATGGACACCCTTACTCCATACCATCGTTAAGAATTCAGATGTATATCATTGGGTTTTTGTTTTGTTTTTTCTACTTGCATACTTACGGACTAAATTTGTTTGTAGACGAGGTTTGTGTATCTAATTTATATTCGGAATATTTTACGATTGTAAATGACTAAGGAAGCGCCTGGGAAGCACATTGCCATAATGCAATAGATAGTAATACAAATATATCGCCATGTCATCGAAAACAGGAATATGTTATCGCCAAGACATATCGCATTCAGTGTATAGGCGCCTTTGTTATAATGCCAGTATCGTACCGGTGAAGAATCTTTTCTTATAAGGATTCTCATTTTTTTTTTTTTTTTTTTTACATAAGTACTGACAATTAGCAAGTCTGCTGACGGAAAAATACTAATAGTAGCTTGATCAGCGTTAGGGAAAGTAGTGCCCAGCGGCATCCATTCTTAACTTGAATTCAGTATATTTTTAGGTCAGAAAATAGTTCATCCAGCTTCTTTTGAGCATTCGGCTTGCGTGTCTTATTGACGAATGTTCTGATCCTTGGCAGAGAGAGGAAAATCTGTCAGATAGAAATTGTTTATAAGATTTTATATTAATGACATTGATTTTATTTTTCTAGTAAGTTGGCTTGAATTTTTCATGATTTTTCTTGGCCATTCTGGGATTTTTAGTGAATCTTCTAGTAATCAGAGTAGACAGAGAGCTGTACTTTCTGTATAAAGACGAAAAAGTACTTGTCTTCTAAGATTAAGGCCAGAGAGATTATTTTTCTTTTTTTCTTACTTGGATATGTTTCACCTGTTATGTAAATAATGGAATTATGGAAATTATGTGAATATTTTAATTGTTGTGTAAGCACATGTTTTCAGGAAACGCGAAAAACTATATTTTCTTTTCCCATTTTAATATTAAAACCATTAAAAAAATATGTATATAAATAATTCTTTATCTGTTGGACATATTTTCGAAACACACAGATTATACCAGTAGTAATCAAAAACCATTAAAACTTTAATAGGCCTGTTTTTTTAACAAAAAAAAAACATTGATTGGTTTTTTTGGGGGGAAAATTATATACGATTTGTGGGAGAAGTTATAAAAATTGTATCATAAAAAATTAACTTTTTGTTTACAATAATGCTATAATGAAATAAATTAATTTTTAATGTTCTTTTAATAAAATAGTTTAAAATTCTTATGATTTTTTTTTTAAACGCTACTGAAGAAATACAAATTTCATTAAATTCCTTTAAAAAAAATTATTTTCACATTTTTTTTGTAATTTAGATTCCTTCGCACCATCGGGTTCATTATGTGTTTTTACATGGGAATCGATACTTATCTCAATTTCGATAAAATTGTCGAATCACGATAAAATCGTGTTCATTTTCGAAATAAGCTACTGATTTGTTTGTTTCATTTCCATTACAAAATAGAGCATATGGTTTTTTATAAAATGAATAAAATAATGTTCATTGTTAATCTAATCATAATGGCATTGCTAATTTCGTATAAATGAAAAAGTACATAGTTATATGGTAATCATCTTCCAAACCCAGTAACCCATTACTACATCAGCAAGATAAAGATATTACATGGCATTTGTATATAACAGGCTATTAGAATTATCCCTAGGCCTTCTAGACTAAATTATTCCATTGACGTAAGATGTGGTCTAGTTACTGACGCCAGATATACAATAGGCGGTGCTGGGGTCCGGAAGTCTATAGATAGTTGGAGGAGAAGGCTCATTAGCCGGCTGTCACCATTGAGCCACCTGTTTTTTAACAGCGCCATCTTATTTGTTCATACATGATGCCTATATGTAGCAATAATCGATACCTCTTTGTACTGTGCGGCTATATTTACCCTAGCTTATCTCCGATTATCTGGTATTTCTCCTGTAAAATAAACATATTTTCAAAAAAAAAAAATCCTATCTATTTCATTTGAGTTAAACTTTAAAAGAACGATTAACAAAGTTGTAATAACTTAACTTAATATCAACGTATTTTATTGGATTATTAAAAAGCTATTTTGAAACTCTGTTGTTGACGGAAATAAAGTTTGAGATGGAAGCAACTCAAAAAAAAAAAAAAATTGTTAAGGAAGGTCAGTATAGTTTTCTCGACGTCTATATGGGATAATTACACATAATTATCTGATAATTACATAGTTAGCTATATTTCACGGTAACATTTTCTTTTATTTATTACTTTTTTAATTATGTTATTTATTTATTAAATTACGTTTTATTTTATTTATCTGTTGTTTTTTAAAATTAATTTGCTATATTTTTGGGTCTAATGGTATACATATTTTTTTTATCCCTCCTAATCAGCTGTTTATTATAACTTTCTTTTACTGCGTTTTTT